TATATATATATATGTATATAGAAGAATAACGAGAGAGAGAGATAACATAGAGAAAGAGAGAGAGAGAGAGAGAGAACAAAACAAAAAGCGAAGCAAAGAAACACAACGAAACATAAAGCATGCAGCTGTCGTCTTAAACGAGTGTCGCGGCCATGTTTTTGTTCCCTCTGCGGACGGCCGCGGCCCGCTGATTGTGGGCGCGGGAAGCGGCCCATCTCGTCCCACTGTAGTCGCGCTCGGGAAACAGTGGTTCTGCTGAGCGGCTATTAGAAGACAGAAAATCCACCCCGATAGTGACCACCCCGACACGCGAAGACGTTTAGTAAACGAGCCCATAGAAGGAATCAAACGGGGCAGGGCTGTCCAATAAACGCCCAGGGCCGTTTAGTAAACGCCAATTGTCCGGTCCGGGTGCGTTTTCCTCCCTTGAATTACGCCGCTCAGCGGGGGCCCCGCTCTACCACTTGCCCCCCCCCATCCCCAGGCGCCTCCACTTGGCGGGCGCGCCGTTCTTCCGTTGATTCTTGCCCCGCTGCGCTCAAGAACTCGGACCTCTGCATGATCGCCGTCGCTCGCCCCCCCCCCCCCCACCGACGCCCTCTCCGCGTGCCAAAACCAGAGCACGCGCGCCGCTTGGTTGTCGGGCCGCCCCGCCGCTCATTAGGTCGAGAAGTTCTCATGCGCTGCTGGCCTTTCGCAAGTCTGACCAGCGGCGGCCCCCGCTGGCCTGGTCGCGCGAAGCGCCGAATCCGACTTGCGCGCGACATTTGTTGTTTTTTGGTTGTCTCTCTCTCTCTCTCTCTCTCTTTCTCTCCCTCTCTCTCACTCACTCTCTCTCGCTCTCTCTCTACGTGCGTGCGTGTATGTGTGTGTGTGTCTCTCTCTCTCTCTCTCTCTTTCTCCCTCTCTCTCTGTGTCTCTGTCTCTCTCTCTCTCTCTCTCACTTTCTCTCCCTCTCCCTCCCTCCCTCTCCCCCTCTCTCTCTCTTTCTCTCTCTCTTTCTCTCGCTCTCTCTCTCTCTCTCTTTCTCTTGCTGTGGCTTCCTCTGTCCTGTTAGATTCGCCTCTCATGTTCTTGATATTTTCTCGTTTTCTCTTCTCCTCGCATCCTCTCTCCTGCCATCAGCTCGCCGCCCCCGTCGCTCGCCCGGGCCCGAGGCGGCGGGCCCCGCGGGCTGCTTCGCCCGCTGCGCGCTCGCAAGCTAGTGCCGACGCCCGGCCGCGGGCGCCGCGTCCCGTCCGCCGCGCCGGACGCGCGCCCAAATCGAGCCGCCGGGGCGCGCCGCGCCCGCCCCCGCGCGAGCTAGAAGCAAATCGCGCACGGCCCCGGGGGCCCGCGCGCATGCGGGTCGTCGCGCTCCTCCTCGCAACGCACTCTGCCCCCCCCCGCCCCCCGCCCCCTCGCCCGCTGCCCGCGGGGCGCGCCGGCCACGGGCGCGCGCCAACAACCCCGCCCCCGCCCATCGCGGCAATTGTCTCGCGGCGCGTCCTGCCCCCCTGTCCGCCGCTGCGCCCCGGGCGACCCCGCGCGCCAGACGCCCTTGCCATCGGGGCTCCTTTCGACTCTCTGTCTCCCCGTTTCTGTCCCGCGCAGAATGCGGGATCTCTGTCTCCAACCAAATCCACCAACTTGCACAGGTAATTGCCAGTGGTGATTTGCATGTGCGCGTTTCTCCCTGGAGCTCCGTCCGCGAAACGTTCCGGCTTGATGGCGGTCGACAAAGGGTTCTCCAAACCTTGATCAACTTAAAAACTTGATAAACTTAAACTTGATAAACTTAAACTTGATCAAACAAGATGGAGTTCTCCAAACCTTGATCAACTTAAAAACAATGCAGTGCAATGGCGCGGGCCCACGCGCGCGAACAAGTGTTCGCGCGGGCTCTGTCCTCGCACGCGCTCGCGAGCACGCAAGAGGCCCTACCTGCGCCCCCCCCCCACCCCTGGCGCTCGGCGCTCGCTGCCACGGCCTCGTTGGGCGGCTCTCTGACTGCGACCCGGTCTGGCGCGCGCGCTGGCCGCGGCCCGAAGGAGGCCCCGTCGGCGCGCACTTTGCCCGCGCTCGCGCGCGGCGCGGCCCCCGCCCCGCAGCGGCGCCAGCGGCAGACATGACGAAGCTAGAGGATGTCCAGGTTAATCGAAAATCGTTGATCGAAAATGCTCCCCGCGATGTGGGCGCGGCCGCGAACGCGCCGCCAAATTCTGACTCGCCATGCGTTCTGGCGGGTGCGCATGCGCAGATCCCATAGTCAACGTCACGGGCGGGTCAAAAAACTAACGACCGCGAAGTACTCGCGGCGACGACCGTTATCTTGGGTTTACGAGGGACCCCCGCGCGCGCACGCAGGGTGCACTTGAGACACAGCGAATCGCGCAGCATATGCAATTAAAACTAGTTGCGTAGGAATCCAACCAGCACTGGCGCGCGGTAGCGGTGCGACCCCGTGAACCCACGAGACGCAGCCTGACGCGAGATGGCTTTTGGACGATCCAAATGATGCGTCACGCCAGGAGTGACAGCCATATTCAACAGAACGTTTGACAAACCGAAAACCGTTGACCAAACATGTCGCGAGTGCACCTATAAACCGCCATATGTCGATCAATCATGAAAACTGCGGAGATGTCGCGAGCAAGGCGTTGATCAACAAAGCATAAAAAACAACATGGTTTCCCAATTTGAAATTTACAGTCGTGGGAACTACCTGACTGTACCTGAGATTCCGAATCCCATCCACTGAGCCCGTTCGCGTGCCCCGCACAGTCCGCGCGAGCCGGGCGCCCAAACACGCCGCAGACGTCGCAGCGAACGCGCGTGAAACAATGCGCGCGAGTGCGCCGAGGCGAAATGAGCGCCTCGCATGAAAAGGTCATGCGCGGAACGCGCATCAGCGAGCGAAACTGCCGAGCGCCGCCAGCGAAGAAGACCTGCTCCGCGCCAGCGCCTCAGATCGCAAATAGAAGAAACGACGATGACGCAACGCGCGGGCTTCACCGGGCGCGCCATTGAGAGCGTCAGTCGACAGGAACTGCGAAACGAAACGAAATCAAACACAGAAAATAACGCACCGGGCCAACAAGGGTGACATTTTCGATTTTGATCGACCAGAGCGTCCTTGAGACACGCACGGCAACAGACGCGAAAACTTCGCCTCCTCCCGCCCCAAGCCCCACCCCGAAGCGGCGCAAGCGACAAAGATGGCGACAGTTCGCTTGCTTCCCCGCCCCTCCCCCCCCGCTCCGATTTCGTCGCCCCAATCGCCCCAGGGCGCCCCCCCGGATCCCCGAAGAGCCACGACGGCCCCGGCGGAATGATCACACTCGCCCCATCCAAGCCCGCAGCCTGGCAACATGGAGCCCTCTCGGCCTCTCATGCCAAGGCGGGCAGACGCCCGCCCCTCCACCCTGGCAACGCGAGCCCGCCTTGGCGCCCCGCAGGAGGAGGGGGGAACAACCGGAAGAGAGAGGAGGGGAAAGAGAGGGAGAGAGAGAGAGAGAAATAGAAACATAAAGAGAGAGAGAGAGAGAGAGAAAAAAAAAACATGAGAACAAACGACAAGACAGAGTACAGCTGCCGTCTTGAGCGATTGCCACTGTTATGGCCATGTCCCTGTGTCCTCCGGGGACGACCATGGTCCTGCCATTTGTGGGCGCGGATATAATATTTTAACGAATACCACTATAGTCGCATTCGGGAAACAGGGTGGGCAAATCTACGGCGTCTCGGGCTTTTGAATGGAACGTAACACATCAGCAACGCAACTTTGCGTGCAATACGTAGAAAAGCTGAGTGCGTTGACTCATCCAGAAAACATTGTATTTGTTGTTGCAGACTAATGCTGCGCGGGGCTCCTTCCACTGTTATATGTCACGCTAGTGTGATGGGTCGCATCCGTATCTTGGCTACAGGTCGAATCGCCAGGTTGGGTAGAAATCGGGAAACGTCACCGGAGTGTAAGATTTCATTCGCAAAAGGCATTTCAACATGTTCACCTCGACTTGAACGTTTTCAGATCAGACCTAGACATCATCCGCTGGTGAATTTCCTTGCTGGGCTTTGATCAGGAAATGCTGTTCAGGTGGACCTGTCGATCTTCACGTGCAGATGGTGTTCTCATTGGACATAGCCATCAGGCTTTGTGAGTCCAGGAGAAGATCCATCGTTGCCACCACGGAGGCGATCGCTGGGCCGAATTCGCAAAACATTTGTAGACGCGATGTAGAGCTCAATCCACGCCTGGCTCCAGAGGGGGGGGCATGATAATGGAACTGGCCGAGAAGGGGATGGATGATCAGGCAGGGCTGTTTCTGGCGGGTTGTTCACGTCAGAGCGGGCGCGGCCGACACCATCTGCACGCAGACGGGCACGAACATCTCGAAGGCGGCGAGCACGAGCATCTCGCGGATAAGCATCGCACCATCACCCTGATCGACGCCAGGGAGGGGGATTAAGAAATCCCTGGGCGGGCTACGGGGGGATAGCGCAGCGGAGCCGGGATATGGCAGCGATTCGAGAATCGCCGCCGCCCCCATGATCCATAATCAAGCTGCCTGCGAGGCCGCCTTCACAACGACCGCTGCGTGCACCGCTTTGGGGCTGCAGATTGGGGAGGGTGGGGGGGAGGAGGGGGGCGGGGGGAGAACGGGGAGGGAGGAGGAGGGAAGAGGGTGAAGGTAGATAACGAGGAGGGAGGTAGATCCCTGTCCTCCGTTTCCTCTTCTCCTCTTCCTCCTCCTCCTCCTCGTCCTCCTCCTCTCCCTCCCTGTTTCCTTGATTTTCCCCCCCCCCTCACCCCACCCCTCTCCCTCTCTTCCTCCTGTTCTTCCCGTCCCCTTCGTCCCCTTCTTCATCCCTCTGATGGTATACCCCCCCTCGTCGAACAACCAGACGTGGCCTGAGGGCAGAACGCGTCTCGTCTGATACGTCCTTGCAGCTTATCTGGAGCAAGAAAGCCCCAACCGCTACACGGATGGAGGACCAGTCGCTTCCCAAATGCGTCTGTCGCAATAGCCCCGCACACATTCGATTTGAAGACGTTCTAGATGAGGGCCCGCTGATTATACCCCACTCCCTCTAGGGACGCAGAAACTGAAAATGATCGTGCCCTTGTTTCGAACACCGAAATTGACATCAGCTCTAGGCGCTGATGGGGGCCCCTTGAATGAGCCCTGGGAAAGTCCCAACGACACCCCGCGCCCTCCTCCCGCCCTCCCCTGCCCTACCTCTACCTTCCCTCCCTCCCTCACGTGCCCTCCCCTGCAACTTGTTGGGTTGTCTGCGGGCCCGCCTGGAATGGCGCCCCGAAACTGCGGGCCAACGCGGTATAGGTATTGTGGCGCCGCGGGGGCGGGGCATAATTGTGCCACGGGAAAAGGCACCTGATTCTGATTATATACCCCACCCACGAATACCCCCCACCCGCGGAAAGATCATTTCGAAGCCGGCGCGGACGCTGAAGGTCCGTCGTGGACTGCTCCGCCCGGAGAGCCCAGGGCCCTGAAATGTTCAGGGAAGTCTGGGAAGAACGCAAGGCCTGTAGTGGTTGTACGCGATGCACTTTGTCATGCGACCCGCGGGAGCAAACAAACGCATTTCGCTATTTCGCTTTGCCAAGGAACCGAAATACGACTTGCACAATGATACTATCCAGCCGTAAAGCGTACATGTTTCTGGGTGGGTGTCAATCCTCGGACCCTGACTAGAGCTACGAAATCGGAAAGCCGACGGTTTCAGAGATGCGGCTTTCGCCTGAGCTCTGCGCACATTGCGTTCAAACATGCAGCAGTTTCAACGATGGAGGCCAATATCATTTCAAAATGCGGCTCCTGTTTTCCCCAACCGAAAGTCTAATTTCGAGCTGCATTTACAAACTCAGCAAACAACTTTCACAGATAGAGGGCGGCTCCCCGGTCGACGAGAACCTGCAGGAACGCCGGCAAAACCTTTGAACACCACACCGCCGACGCCGACGTCGTCATTAGCAGCGCCAACGTCGACTCGCGTCAACGTCGACGCTCAGCGGGGCCTTTGAACCAGAAGGACTAGTTTCCATCGTGTCCGACAATATGTCTCTTGAGTAGGGTAACGTTAAAACTTTCACGAAACAAAAAAATGACTGCGCCGGAATGAGAAAGGGAACCGGAAGCGCAAAAACAACGGCGACGGAACCGGCAAACACGCGACGACGAAACCAGACGAATTCCTGAAAACCACCACCGAAACCAAAAACGGCACGTCGGCGACGTCGCGTCGAGGTCGACGCCGTCGTCGACGTCGCCGGCGGTGGCAGCAACGAGGCGATGGCGGCCGCATCGAAAGCGGCATGGCGCCTCGAAGAAGGCCGCGTTGTCGGTCAGCAGCGCCTGCGGAGCCCGAGGGGCGGTGGTCTCCCGAGCCCGCGGGGCGGGGGGCACCCTCGGGGTTCTGGCGCAGCTGCCCCCGCTGCCTCCCGCCTCCACCCGCGTCTCTCCCCTCCACCCGCCGCCTCCCCTCCACCCGCCGCCTCCCCTCCTCCTCCTCCTCCTCCTCCCCTCTTTCCTCTCTTTCTTCCTCGGGTTTAGGGCAGAGGTTCAACGCCCAGGGGAATGGATGAGAGAAAAAGAGAGAGAGAGAGAGAGCTGGACAAGGAAAACAATGCCAACGAAACGGCAGCGGCGGAGCAGCAACAGCACCCTGTCAGTGAAGCGCATGCATCCCCCTGGTTTCAAATTTGCCCTCAGCTGGTTAACGTCCAGCGCAGACATGGGCAGAGACAGACCGCGGTCCTTCCCAGACAACTGGTACTGTCAATAAAGTGTGACGACACTCCCCTCGTCCTCCTCCTCCTCCCTCCTTCTCCTCCTCCTCCTCCTCCTCCTCGTCCATCCCTGTCTCCTTCTAAGCCTGACCTGACAAGAACGGAAAGCGCCAATGTTGTCCATTAGGCTCGTAAGCGTGATGGCGACGGACGGGCGGCGGATCACGACGATGATAGCGTTGATGGCGGGGAGGGGAGTGATGGGAGCAGGAGGCCAACGAGCAGGAAGATAAGCGCGAGGACGATGAGGAAGAGATGGAAGACGAATTCGCGGAAGGACGGGGTGGAAGAGGAGGGGGAGGGGGAGAAACCCAGCGTGCGAGGGGAGCGCGTGTCTCGTGAGGCCGGCACCCCTCCCGAGCGACTCTTGCTCGCGGCGTCGACATCGAGGTCGGCGGACGACTGGTGGCCACAGGAGTTGAGCATATCCATGGTGGAGAGCTGTTGGGTCTTGGTGCACACGGCACCGTCGTGAACGATATCGTCGTGCATGATCTGCGTAGCCGTGATGTGCACGGTGTTGTAGAATTCATCGGCCGCAACTGAATCGAGAACACCTCCAAGCGGAGGAGCCTCCGCACCTTGAGGAGCAGTGGGGCCTTCATGACAGGGTTCGGCTTGATGTACTATCGACATGGTGCCAATGGTCTCGAGCTGGTCCAGGAGCGAGCCCGATCCATCATCTCGATCTATGGACGAGGTCGAGGACACGTTCCCCGTACCGATCACGTGAGCATGAGCATCATAAAGAGGGGCGTAGTCGAGAGATAGGGGCTCACTACCACCAAGGGCCAGCGCCGCATCTGGAAGTTCTGGGACCAGTGAGCCACGAGGTCAGCAGGCATTGGCCCTCCAACGTTCGGGGAGGCGTATGCGCAAGCGTCACACTGTCGGGCATGTCGCGAACTCGCCTGACCAAGCCCAGGGCGCCCGAAGCCGAGAAGGCACCCAGGTCGATTGAAGGGGCCCTGGGACACACAAAACAATACATACAAATAAAATTGTTCCTCATCTTTTCCCATATTTTCTTGGTTTTTGTCTTCCCCCTTACTTCCCATATTTCCCAACCATCCTGTGGTGTTGGGTCCTCGTTTTGAAGAGACGGTGCCCCGCGTTCCTCTCCTCCTCTCCTCCTCCTCCTCCTCCTCCTCCTCGCCCTCCTCCCTCTTAGGGTTCGCATGCCTCCCCACCACCCATCTCGGCACACCCCTCACACGTTTCGTGGCCCCATAGGGAGCTCCACCGAAGGCCCCAGTGGGGTTCGCATGCCTCCCCACCACCCATTCGGCACACCCCTCACACGTTTCGTGGCCCCATAGGGAGCTCCACCGAAGGCCCCAGTGGCTGGTTCGCATGCCTCCCCACCACCCATTTCGGCACACCCCTCACACGTTTCGTGGCCCCATAGGGAGCTCCACCGAAGGCCCCAGTGGCAGGGTTCGCATGCCTCCCCACCACCCATTTCGGCACACCCCTCACACGTTTCGTGGCCCCATAGGGAGCTCCACCGAAGGCCCCAGTGGCAGGGTTCGCATGCCTCCCCACCACCCATTTCGGCACACCCCTCACACGTTTCGTGGCCCCATAGGGAGCTCCACCGAAGGCCCCAGTGGCAGGGTTCGCATGCCTCCCCACCACCCATTTCGGCACACCCCTCACACGTTTCGTGGCCCCATAGGGAGCTCCACCGAAGGCCCCAGTGGCAGGGTTCGCATGCCTCCCCACCACCCATTCGGCACACCCCTCACACGTTTCGTGGCCCCATAGGGAGCTCCACCGAAGGCCCCAGTGGCAGGGTTCGCATGCCTCCCCACCACCCATCTCGGCACACCCCTCACACGTTTCGTGGCCCCATAGGGAGCTCCACCGAAGGCCCCAGTGGCAGGGTTCGCATGCCTCCCCACCACCCATTTCGGCACACCCCTCACACGTTTCGTGGCCCCATAGGGAGCTCCACCGAAGGCCCCAGTGGCAGGGTTCGCATGCCTCCCCACCACCCATTTCGGCACACCCCTCACACGTTTCGTGGCCCCATAGGGAGCTCCACCGAAGGCCCCAGTGGCAGGGTTCGCATGCCTCCCCACCACCCATTTCGGCACACCCCTCACACGTTTCGTGGCCCCATAGGGAGCTCCACCGAAGGCCCCAGTGGCAGGGTTCGCATGCCTCCCCACCACCCATTTCGGCACACCCCTCACACGTTTCGTGGCCCCATAGGGAGCTCCACCGAAGGCCCCAGTGGCAGGGTTCGCATGCCTCCCCACCACCCATTTCGGCACACCCCTCACACGTTTCGTGGCCCCATAGGGAGCTCCACCGAAGGCCCCAGTGGCAGGGTTCGCATGCCTCCCCGCCACCCATTTCGGCACACCCCTCACACGTTTCGTGGCCCCATAGGGAGCTCCACCGAAGGCCCCAGTGGCACGCATGCCTCCCCACCACGGCACACCCCTTTTCGTGGCCCCATTCAGGGACGGTGGCCCCTCCACCGAAGGCCCCAGTGGCATGCATTTCGGCACACCCCTCACACGTTTCGTGGCCCCATAGGGAGCTCCACCGAAGGCCCCAGTGGCAGGGTTCGCATGCCTCCCCACCACCCATCTCGGCACACCCCTCACACGCTTCGTGGCCCCATAGGAAGCTCCACCGAAGGCCCCAGTGGCAGGCTTCGCATGCCTCCCCACCACCCATTTCGGCACACCCCTCACACGCTTCGTGGCCCCATAGGGAGCTCCACCAAAGGCCCCAGTGGCAGGGTTCGCATGCCTCCCCACCACCCATTTCGGCACTCCCCAACACCCATTTCGGCACACCCCTCACACGTTTCGTGGCCCCATAGGGATCTCCACCGAAGGTCGGGGGGAGCTTGACACTGGTATCCTTGCGGTACTCGCAGCTGCATATGGTTGGGTCCTTCGCCAGGCTAATTTCTGGGGAATCGACGATTAATGATGTCTGTGTGTTGATTCCCTCCTGACCGATTACAAGCATCATGGTCACTGTCGAGGGCCACAGCATCTGGCTCGCCCACTTGAGGTTCTTGAGCAACTTGCTGAACACCTGCGGGTGGAACAGCAAAGGGCATCGCGATGTCGCGTCCTTCAGCGGGTCGGTCTGTCAGGGGCCATCCGTGCATCGTCTTCACCACAACGGCTCTGGTTTGAATGCTACAACCGTAGGTATCGCTGCAAGAGGCAGCACAGGCAGTGTGGGACCAGCGGTCTGCACTGGGCCGTCGTTGGAGCTCATAGCCGGCAGCGGCCCACGGGACGAGCGACCTGGAGGGTAAAACCTTCTCGGAGCCCCACGTGCAGCCAGGGCTGCAGCTGCCGTATCAGCAGGGGGCAGGTGGCGATAACTCCGATTCCCCGTCAGAGTCATAGGCACTCATCACATCCACGTGCTGCGCGCTGAGTCTATCGACGGGATCAGAAGCTTCGCCCATCGCCGCAAGACCAGCATCACACGGCGATGGATTTAGAGGGGGCTGGGCGAATGCGATGTCACGCTCGCCCGCAGGTGCATCACTGCGTGAGCTGGGTTCGTGGCCATCGACGGGCAATCGACGTCCATGGGATCGCATGAATCACTGCCGCGATTGAGCAGCATCGATTGCCGTGGACCGTGGAAGAAACAGCGGGGGCTCCCACGGGGGAAATGCAGGCATCTCATCCAGAAGGACGCGACGGTGGGTCGGGCGCATTTTCTGTGGGTCAGGGTGCCAATCGCAAAGCGGCCGACGATCAGGAGCTCGAAGATGAAGAGGCTTAACCCTTGTCTACGTCCTTGCCTGCTCAATGGGGGACATGACGTGCGAAAAGAAAATCGCGCTGAGGGAGTGGGTGGAGCCATGCATTTTGGTAACTGTCCGTCGCCATACGTCGATGCCCCCGCCAAGTTTCGACGGGCCTGGACGACACAATGGGTTGGCACATTTCCTTGCTGCGATACACCCGCAACGTAGTCAATGCGCCAGTCCATCCAGCTCTGGAGATCGCTAAACGGTTGGGGCGGGGTCGTCGTGTGCCCGCTGCGCGATGACCATTGGGCGAGCCTCTCCATCTTTGCGAGGAACGTGACAGCGGGGGTCCATGGCGCGAGCTGCACGCATTTGGGTCGAAACAACTCTCGGCATCTCCACATGAGGAGGAGGAGGAGGAGGAGGAGGAGGAGGAGGAGGAGGAGGAAGAGGATGAAAAAGAACAACCTTAGGCTGGCGAGGGACCTAACCATATGTAGTTGTGAGTACCGCAATTATGGGTATCGTATTCGGTGGATCTCCCCATGGGGCCAAGAAACGCTGCACTGGGTGGGAGAGACGCATGCGAATTTTGCCACTGGGGCCTTCGGTGGAGCTCTCTATGGGCCACGAAACGCTGCACTGGGGGGGGGGAAACGCATGCGGACTTTGTCACTTGGGTTTTCGGCGGAGCTCCCTGTGGGCCACAAAACGTTGTGCCGGGTGGGGAAATGCATGCGGACTTCGCCACGGGGGCATTCGGTGGAGCTCCCCATGGGCCACGACACGTTGCGCTGGGAGGGGGAGACACATGCGGACCTTGCCAC